CTCAATAAAAACTCCCAATTTGATTCTTTCTGGCTTTTATGGTAGAAGCGCCATTTTCATGTAGGTCCTCTCTCTTAAAATCTCTCCTCACGACATCGACAAACTGCAGAATCATGCGGAGTTTATCCGCAATCTGCGCACGCTTTGACACGTTGAATTCCATAGCAGAACCCGCGGAGCCTTGTTTCGTTCGAGTCGCCGCGCATGCCGCCGCGCAACTCGCCGCGTGCCAGCCCCGACGAGCCAAAAGTCCCGCACCTAGACCTTTATGGTTACAGCGGAACGTTAGCTTTCCTCAGGTAGGATAGGGAATCTAGACACTGACATTATTGGTACAAACTGATAGCTACTGATAATGACGCATAAGTGTATCTGAACGCAAGTGTTTCCAAGTTCTTACGACTCTCGCTATAATGATGCAGCGCTCTCATCTACAAATTTCAAAAGACAGGATGTAGAAATGGTGATGGCGAATGATAATGATTGACAAGGACACTTAGAATTCAGGCGAGAATTCATGCTACGAACACCTAAAATACTACACCGCCACTAACCAGTATCCAAGCTTATCAGCTGAGCGCTCACTGTGATGCTTACACGTTTTCATTCCTTCGAAATTTCACTGAGAGCTAGAATAATTGAGCCGAAACCCAGCTGGATCCTTTCAACCTGTGAGTGAACAGTGTAGGCCGATGTCAGACTTTGCGAATCGCGCGATTCGCTAGCGTCTGCGGTCGCGTCGCGGCCAGTGAATCACTCAATTGGCTGGTACCGCAACGCGACCGCGGACGCTAGCGAATCGCGCGATTCGCAAAGTCTGACATCGGCCTAAGAGAGAGGCATACGAAAGTTAGATTTCATTATCTTGTTCTCATGTATCAGTATACAATAATGTATCTATTTGAATACTACCAAGTTTCTGACTCGATGACCAAAGCCGTATCATCCAAGCAGTTGATAAGTGGTAAAGACTGACATTTCAGTGATTAGTGCTAAGCGCAAAATCATGCTGAAAAAAATTGAAATTTTTCCGGACAACTCACACTGCCACATCTACATCAATAACGATCATTCCAACAGATGTACATCCTGCCACGTACCATTCAAACTAAAGCCTACCGCGCGGCAGCGTGCGCCAAAATGGCAACCGTGTGAGAACTGTAAGGCTCACAATTTTGAGTCGACAAAATCAGGCGTCAGACGTCAAACGAATCGTGGTGATGACATAATCTCACAAGAGCGCTGTTAAAGGGGTCACAGAAGAAATATTCAAGCACCTTCGACATGGTTTATCGCATATCTGTCTCGATGAAGAGTCGTTTATTGACCCATTCAAAGCATAGTCCTGCTGGATTCGGGGTTAGCGATCCAGAACCGAAGCCATGCGCCTACTGAGACGTCACTCCTTAGCCTTCAGGGCCTTTTGGGAAGTAATTTGTGTTATCCCTGGCGTTCCTCCTCTCTGCTGGGCTTAGTCCTAGTGTCACCTACCATCGACCCTGTTTTGTTGTTTTGTTTTGAATGTTTCCTTCTTGGACGTGAGCGCCTCGATCAGCAAAACATATATAGTTGACATTGAATAACTATCTCAACAAAAACTCCCAATTTTGATTCTTTTTGGCTTTCATGGTAGTAGCGCCATTTTCATGTAGGTCCTCTCTCTAAAATCTCCTCACGACATCGACAAACTGCAGAATCATGCGGAGTTTATCCGCAATCTGCGCACGCTTTGACACGTTGAATTCCATAGCAGAACCCGCGGAGCCTTGTCTCGTCCGGATCGCCGCGCATGCCGCCGCGCAACTCGCCGCGTGCCAGCCCGGACGAGCCAAAAGTCCCGCACCTAGACCTTTATGGTTACAGCGGAACGTTAGCTTTCCTCAGGTAGGATAGGGGAATCTAGACACTGACATTATTGGTACAAACTGATAGCTACTGATAATGACGCATAAGTGTATCTGAACGCAAGTGTTTCCAAGTTCTTACGACTCTCGCTATAATGATGCAGCGCTCTCATCTACAAATTATCAAGGTGACAGGATGTAGAGATGGGTGATGGCGAATGATAATGATTGACAAGGACACTAATTCAACTTCAATGAGAGCAGAATTTATTGCGCCCGAAACCACCTGAACTCCAACCAATGGTAAATGAGTGTAAGAGATGAGCAGTACAGTGAGATCGATTCATCTCATTCCAGTATCAATGTTAAAAAATCTATTTGACCCCTGAGATGTCTGACTTGAGGCCAAAGTCGTGTTATCACACAGTTGAATAAGTGGCAGAAATCTTCTTACCATTAGCTATTAGGGGCTTCGCATAAAATGCTAGGAAATCGCCCTTTTCGGGACACTCACACTCCACATCTACATCGACCGTCATTCGTCCGGATGTACATAAACTTAAGCCTATCCCGCGGCCGCGTGCGCCAAAATGGCAACCGTGTGAGAACTGTAAGGCTCACAATTTTGAGTCGACAAAATCAGGCGTTAGACGTCAAACGAATCGTGGTGATGACATAATCTCACAAGAGCGCTGTTAAAGGGGTCACAGAAGAAATATTCAAGCACCTTCGACATGGTTTATCGCATATCTGTCTCGATGAAGAGTCGTTTATTGACCCATTCAAAGCATAGTCTGCTGGATTCGGGGTTAGCGATCCAGAACCGAAGCCATGCGCCACTGAGACGTCACTCCTTAGCCTTCAGGCCTTTTTATTACCACTGCTTCGATTACTTCTCAGAGATTTGACTTCTGCAAGGTTCAATATTGCAGTAATCGAATGAAATCCTACGGCTATCGAGGCCACAAAACCGCAACGTACCAAGCTTTACGGTTTGGCGAAGATCTTCATCGACGTGAGTATTTAACATGGAATTGAGATAAAGATCAATATTCTTTGTAAATAATTATTACAGGTTGAAATGACAAAATATCATTTTAGAAATTCGTTTAGTTCTATCACTAAACAGAGAATCTGTTTTAAAAACTACGTATTAGTGGAAGCCGAGATATTCACATTTTTGGGGGTGTCCTATGATTTTGCAACGCACTGTATATTAACCAGATTAGTCCCCCGTCAACCGCCGGGACCTTCCTTTCCTGCGCAAGCTTTCTATCCTCCGCTATGGTCCCTTCCTCCTGTGACACCAACACCTCCTGGAAGTGACGCGTATGCAACACAATGGTGTTTCATACAGTAGAAGGGACACAATCATGATATGACGGTAGATTTTTCGCTTCCCTTCCTCATCCTCCCTTCCTCTCTCCACTGCCCTCCAGCTGCCACTGCAGCACCATGTGGAATGAACGGAAGTGTGCTAAGCAGGTGTTTATATAGCCCTAAGAGTGTTATCACAACTATCCTGCTACAAAACATTGATATCTCAAATCCTGTAAGCTACCCGATTTGTTAGCGGTTTGTTTATCCCATGAGCTTCCTTCTCACTCACTTCATTTTGCGGACGGACACACATACATACATACACACACACACATACAGATACACAAACCGACACACAAAGTTAGCGCTTTATAAAATAGAAGGATATATATATTCATAAAACCATATCTAATATGCGTTGACACGCTTTGATACATTGCGCATATAGGATAAAAGATTTTGAAAGAAAATCTTCAGGAAAACGAAGCAAGTGGATATGTAGTGATCATCGTTTCGAATGGCAAAACTTCCGAATGCAATCCGCCATTGACTGCCGACAATGAGTTCACCATTTCAGAACATGTAAGTCCACTAATCACAAGACAAGCAATTCGTTCTTGTAGAAACAGTCTTCGTTCATTAATCAGCGCAAAAGCAGCCATTCCAAAGAGCAATACAGCTTCCTCTTTGATAACTTTCAGCGATATGATGGTGTTTTTTTTCTAATTTGGACTTCTCGGCCATGTTATCTTTTTATGACCAATTTTGTTACCGTAAATTTTGAACACCCTGAATAATGTGACATATAAATAAATTGCGTGTAGCAACTCGAAGCTATTTTATTGCAAGCCCAGAATATCGAGACCCGTGTTCGGCAACCCTTGGACCTCTTTTAGTGTAGATTGCCCTTTTTAGAAACACGACAGCAGTTTCCCTCTTGCCATCACAATAGAAGGAAAACTGATAATAGTTGAACAATCCCTCCAGAAAAGTATTATGAAATGAAACAAAAAAAACTTGCGAAAAAGTGCGACTTTGCGGACTTAACAGGCTGAATGTTTCAAAACAAATATTTGTAGCTTTACATTTTTACTTTGGAGCCTTTTGCAAAACATATCTGAATGCGAGTTTTTGGGAAATTCTTTGAAAGTACCATCTGCAAACGCAAGATTATAAGTTAAGGAACATAGGATGTATACCGTAACCCACGTTTGCGTCAGAGCGCGGTTGCAGGCTTTCCAGTGCACAATGCCAGCACTAGTGTGAGAGCGGTCAACGACGCCGCCCCTGCTGTTCAGGGCAGCGACCCAAAAATGGAGCGGCCGCTCGCGACGTTGGGGCGACAGTCGCTTGCGTTGCATCCTCCACCTTCTACATAAACGGCGCTTAGTACTCTGCGCGGGCCTGCTCGACGCATTCTCTCTTCGTTGAGAGGGTGCAGAGAAGACGAGAAAATCGATGACACGTGAGAATGCGCGCCCCAGTGCAACGTCGAGAAGGTTACGGTATACACCCTATGTTCCTGAACTTATAATTCTGCAGACTAGTGAACTCTTTTTATCGGTAGCGTGGTCACAGCAGAATTCGCAACAGAACTGACTACGGCTGCCCCCAAATGTATTAGTTTTTTGCAAACTGAATGCTTAGCTATTAGTTATCAGAGTAATTTGAAGACTGTCGTGACATGTGCTGAGGAGTCCGTGGTGCAAAATTCCTTAGCCACCGGATACAAAGCGATTATGGATTAAGTAAATGTGCAGAAATCATTCAGGACTGGCGACATCTTGGTGTGCGAATCATTTACGTAGCATTACGAGGGACACCAGGCTTCAATATGGATAATATTGAACAAATTGCTGAAGACCCTGCAAACATTATACCAGTGGATGACCTGAAGGTGAGTGTTCTTAACGACAAACTCACTGTGCTGATATTTCATTTAATTCATAATTTAGACATTGAGTACATCTGCTGCGGATGCTGCCTTAATGAAGTTCCCACCTGCCGCATAATTTTTTGAGACGTTTTCAAATTTTTTATGTAAATAAAATATAGAAGAAGTACTCTGTATATTGCAACTCAAATGTGAACATTGATTCGAAAATGTCGTTCTTGTATTGTACAAGTTTGTGTGCTATCATAAGAAAGGGGGCGTCGCAATGCAACAGTTCGGGTGAGCTGCTCATCCCTAATTATGGTAAAGGATTCACTAAAAATACGAAGTGCTAACAATCATTCCTTGAATAATCCTAATCCCTTTTAGTTTTTAGAGCCCAATGCACTGATGTGCGCTGATTTAGTTGGGTGGGGGGGGGGGGGTGCCGCCGCGTGGCGCCGGCATGTTTGCGATCCCCTCTGAGGAAAAGTAAATTCGCTCATTCCAGTTTTTCACGCATGCGAGTGACTCACCTCCCCACTCCAAGAGTTTCGCTTCTCCCGGTCAGCAGCTTCCCCGCTTTGAATGGTAGAGAGCGAACATGCCCACGCCTTCCTCCCCCACCCCCCAACTGGTATCGCACTCGATTCTGAGTCAGGATGATAGGATTGTCGAGGAGGAAGTTGCTTCAGCGTGAATAAATCAACTTCTCATTTCCTGAGGCTAAGCTTGGAGGGCAAACTTGGGCATTTAAAACGCAGAGGCAAAAAACGGTACATATATACGGTACACACTGTGTGTACGTGAACATTGCTATCTTTCTGGCGCTAGGCTACCCTCCAATGACTTTAGAGAGGATTCAACGATAAGGTCAAAGGTCCTAGAATGAGAACTTACAGAGAAAAGGGAGGTGGACCTCTAAGGGCGCGGAACACGCAATCGCAGCGCAAGATCTGCCCCGGCAACAGCGTGATTACCCCGTGGCGCTACCGACGTGGCACGCCCACCAACTGGCTAACCACTCGCCGCAGGTCTCCAGCCTTTTAGCAGAGAGAGAGGAGAGCGTTACCGTTGAAAAGGAGCAGCATAGAAGAGAGTCGCTTCTATGTGGAAATCAGCGTGCAACGAAGACGTCTCATTTCTCGCGTTCTGAGCTGTTTATCATGGTTTTTCTCCATTACATCCAACTTCTTCCTCTACCTTAACTCTAATGCGCTGTCTTCTATTCGTAAACTCCGCCTACAATCGTGGTAGTGCCACATCGGAAATTTTAAGATAGATGACAACGTCAAATACTTCTATAAGCTTGTTTTTCGTTGAGTCGTATAAAACAAGCAATATTTTCAATATGCCCACGTTTCAAGAAGACCGAACATGGAATCCATAAGAAGTTTTTTGCTACTGTCTCCAATCTACTTGTCTCTTGGTTGACCGTTCTCACATTGACGTAATAAGCGCATGGTGAACAACGGTCGATCAAATCCTCGACAGGGGATCGTATTCGCCTCAAGTAAGGTGAGGCGGTCATAAGCGCAAGGAATAAAAGGGGGCACAACGGTGGTGCTGCCACTCGCTGTACCTTGCGTTGCTAGAAGTGATCAGTATGATGACGAAGGGAGGATGCGAGCCTTGCGATAACGTAGAATGTCAACTCCAGATTAATGTACACGCTTCAAGACCCATTGCAGGAACAAGAGCTTAGTGGACTGTTTAAGATGGGGAGATTCGCAGCCTTCTTGATCTTATCACATGCTGAAGCGGCAATGGCGCTAGTCGTAGGAGCAGGGTTGGAAAGTAAGCGATGAAAATGAAAGAATAATTAGACTATACTATGGCTCTGAAGACATTCCAATTAATCAAGACTAGAATTACCTTTTGGTCTGCACTAGCAAGCTGTCGTGCAGACGAGGCACCTTTCAACTGACCCTTTGTGGGGTTACTCATGGCGAAACCAGAACGGAATAGATCTACACCAAGTGTGCCATTTCCTTCATCGAGATGGTGCATCTTAGA